TCAGAATACAATCTTCCAAAAGTATGGACAACTTGGGCCTATCATCCCAAGGCCCAAACTGCAAGGAGAAAAATCTTTCAGAACACAGAAGCATCAAGAAACCATTCTACTTAAAGAGGAGCAACGCCTCTTAATCAAAGGCAGCCAATCAAAGGCAGCCTCACAGCTAAGAGCCAGAGGAATCAATGCCCTGTCTTTCCTTCTTTGTACTCTCCTGTCTCTTGCTGAACTCTTGGTCATCCAAAGGACCCAGGAGCTCCATTGCTGCAGTGTATACGAGTCAGCCTCCCTAGCAGAATTGACAGCAGGTAGGGAGAGGGAAGAATGGATCTAGAGATGCAGGCAGGAGTCATCTGACACTACATATTGAGTTGCACAATAATTTCAAGAGATAACAAGCCTGGCAAAGTGCTTGACATAGAATCATTATCTCATAGTATTTGAGGGGGATTGGTTCCAGAACCTTCTCTCCCTATGGAAAACAAAATCTGTGGATGTTCAAGTCCCTGATATAAAATGGTACAATATTGGCATACAATCTGCTCATATCTTCTTGAACACTTTAAATCAACATCTCCAGATTATATATGAAACCTAACAAAATGGAAATGCTATGTAAATCATTGTTACACACAGTATAGCAATGTATTGTTTAGAGAATAGTGACAAAGAACGCATCTAACTTAAAAAGTGCTCTGGATATGAATGGGGCAGGCTTTAGCTGGATACTCAGCAATGTAGCACATGGATGGTACCATAGTGACTTATGCATTTTACATGAATGTGTGCATGGGAGAAGGTCAGGACCACCAAAGATGTGTAGCCCTGTGGACTACACTAAAACAGTTCTAATGATCCTGAAAGGGATTACGGTCATGGTACCGTAGTTATTACAGGCTAGGTGGCATAAATAACAAGTTTATTTCTTTACTGTGTTGGGAGCTAAAAGTTCAAGGTCAAAGTGCTATCAGAATTGGTTTCTGGTGAGGCTTGTCTTCCTAGCTCATCTAGAGGGCCACCTGTCACTGCATTCCTCTGGCTGTGGAGAGAGATACCTCTGGTGTTTCTTCTTATAAGGATACTAGCCCTAGATTAGAGTCCCAGTCAAATCACCCTTCTGAAAAGCCTAGATGCAGTACCAGCCACATTGGGGGATTAGAGCTTCAATGTTCTAAGTCAACAGGACACTTTAAGCAGGAGAGTATCCCAATCTGACTTGCTTTTATTAGTGAGGTCTGGGCTGTCCACATTGTGAGCACAGTAAAGGCAGGGAGTGGAAGATGTGAACACCAGAGGCCATTTACACCACCAGCTTATGTAGGAAGTAACTTACTTCCTACATCCCAGCTTATGTAAGTTACTTCCGACATAAGCTGGGATGGTGACAGGGAAGATGGAGGGGAGGCCATAGAGAAGAGAGAATAAAGAGGGAGAATTTACAGGACTTGGTGCTGAACTAGTCATTTGAAGGAGGAGGGGAAGTCAGCTCTGAGATTTCAAGGTGCCCAGTACTGATAGCAGGTGAAGATACTTCTTGTTCAGTGTTAGGCATAATTGGTTGGCAAGGTTTGTAGGGCAGTTAGGTGGAAGCATCCAGAAGCCTGGATTTGGAAGTGACACGGGCTGAAATCTCAATCTGAAATCAGGCAGCAGATTTTAAGCACAGTTCACTTGCTTGTCTATTCTGAATAGAAGCAGTCCATATGCTTCCCTGTGGAACTTTCTAGCTACTATATGAAAGTCTCAAACACCATCAGCATATCAGAGACACCTAGCTTGCTTCCCATTCCCCCCAAGCCTTATTTCTCCACCCTTCCCACATCTTACATTCCTCTCATGCTCTGCCCTGCACTGTCCCCTGCCTGGGCCACCCTCCATCCTTCTAGCCAGCCAATCACAGCTTTCCTCCATTCAATGTGATCCTTCCTCAAGGCTCCTTTTGACACGCCTCCTTACTTCCTTTCCCTCTCTTTGCCTGTCTCTCCACCTTTGGTCCATCTGCTTCTCGCTTTTTCCTTCCGATTCTGTGAAGCACAGCCTGACTGCATGGCTCCTCTCACAGCTATTTTCTCCTTTGCTTGACATCTCGAACATGTACTTCTTCCTTTCTCACCATTCTCTGCCAACCCTCCTTCACCTGTTTGATCCTTAGCCTGTCTTGGCCTTTCCCCCTCTCTCTGCAAGTGCCTCCCTCTCCTGAAAACAAGTTTCCTTCAATGCAACTCACACTTGCCCCACGTGTGGCAGAGAAAGCTGTGGACACAAGCAATCCAAATCCATAGAAGGTAAAGGGAGTTACCCAGGCAGAAGGGAATAATTCAGTGGCTGAACTAGAGGGAGAAGTGGACCTTCTGGATCTAAGTCAAGGTCTCTGTGGGTAGTTAGGTCTGCCAGACCCCTACTCTTTCACCTTAGTGAGGTTCCTGCCATAACCCTGTGGTTCTTCTTACAATCTCCAGCCTATATCTCAAGAAGAATGTTGTGAAGCTTTCTCGGTCCTCCTTCTCTATGCCAGCTCTAGTTTCTGGGCTTTGAAGAGATTGGAGAGTCTCCAGCAAGCTCATGTCATATCCAGTCAAGGATTTAAAGGGGTCTTATGCTCAAGGGAGTCATGTCATACCTTTTGGGGCCAACTCAGCCCAGGATGGCTTCTCTCTAGGTTTCAAGAGTGACTCCTCAAAAATCAGAGTTCTCATTTTGAATAGGGAGGAGGTATGATGCAGGAGAGAATGGCTAAAACTAGGCAGTGGGAAAGGATACAGGGAGGGAAAAGATTGGATTTCCCATGTGCAGCTTCATGTCACATCACTAAAAGTTCTCTTCTGGAGCCAGGGGCTCACACCTGCAATCCCAGCTACACAGGAAGCTGAGATCTGATAATTGAGGTTCAATGTCAGCCAGGGCACAAAGTCCATGAGACTCTTATCTCCAATAAACTATCTCCTCAAATAAGCCAGAAGTGGAGCTCTGGCTTAAGTGGTAGGGTGCTAGCCTTGAGCAAAAAAGAAGCTCAGGGATAGTGCCAAACTCTGAGTTCAAGCCCTAAGACTAGTGTGTGTGTGTGTGTGTGTGTGTGTGTCTTCTGAAGCAGAGAAGGGACAGGGGAGGGGTGCAGCTGTGGATGAGGAGGTCCCTGTGCACCCATAGTCAAGGGCACAGACCCTGCCCCAGGAATGCTTAATGGAGAAGAGGACGCAGGGGAATTATCTTCTGTGCACTTCTCTTCAAAGGACAAGGGCTAGGGTGGCAAAAGTTACCTGAGTAACTGAGTTTTGTAGTTGTGGGAGGAGTCATTTCCAGGGGCAACCTTGCATGGCCAGAAGGCATCACACAGGATGAAATCTAAGCGCCCATCCCCACTGTCAAGCCCCATCCAGAAAGGCATTCTGCAGACCTCAGCCACAGCTTCCACCTGAAATATCCCCCCACAGAATTGGAGCACAGGAGCCCCACGGAGGGTCTGCCTCCTACCTGCCTCCCAGCCCAGGGTTCTTGTGATCTGGATCATGGCAGACATGTCCACCCACCCACCCCCACACCAGCCCTGATGCTGTGGAATGGTCTTGTCCCCAGGTCCATCCTCACAGCTCTGCCAGCAGTATCCCTGAAATGCCAGGGCTGGAAGGAGGGAGAGCATCAGGAAGGGAGATGCCAGGGGCCAACTGCATGGGTGGAAGATAGAGGGACAATTACAGAACATACACGCACGGTAAACACCGGCTAAGAGCACCCTAGTGGCCACTTCTGGATACCCTGCTGTGATGACAAAGCCTTCTAGGAAATAGAGACTTTCATCAGAGGTGGCCACCCAGAGGAAGAGGCAACAGCTGCCAAGGTTTGTTCATTTTTATTTATTTATTTAATTTTTTATAAAACAAGCTACAAATAGTGTCCCTCCCTCCCTCCTTCCCTCCCTCCTTCCCTCCCTCCCTCACAAAGGAAAAACATACAACACAGTCTACACATATATGTGAGAGAGGAGATGGCTGGGGAAGATTACAAATGGCTACAAAGAGTCTTCTCTGCTTCCTCCAGGCTAGAGAGTGAGTCTATGGTCTCCTTCAAGGTCCATCTAGCACCAGCCCTATCTACCTCTAGCTCCAGGTCCAGCTCTAGCTCTAGATCTACTCTAGCCCTAGCTCCAGCTCCAGCTCTAGCTCTACACCAGCTCTAGCACACTGTTTTCTAGACATGGATCTGGGAGAGGGCTTCCTTTCTACCTCACCACATCAGGATGAAGCCATCAGGCATCCCTGAGACAACCCGTTCAACTTCCTCCAAGATCAGCAGGAACCTTCGCTAGTCCAAGACTCTACCAGGTCAAATCCTGCGAAGACCAGGCCCCTCCTACTCGAGCAGTGATGACAGGACCCATACCTCCCAGACCCCACATGGAAAATCATCTCTAAGAGGATGCTGGAAGGCTGAGTACCAAGAACGGTCTGATGCGTTCCTGGACTACATGACCCCTCATGCTGCAGCCATGGCTGCCTATGGGAAGCGACACTAAGAGAAGGAGTCCCATGCTCCTTCCGAAGGCCATAAAAACGTGCATGCCACCTGAGTAGAGGTAGCTGAGTGCCCGCCTTGAGGCTGGTCAGCCTACACTGGCATCCTGGCAACAGTCTGTCAAAAGCGAGGCCTGGATTTCTCTTTAACTGGGTCATTATTCCTTTTCTGGGGAAAGCAGAAATAGATCCAAGATCAATTTTATTTCTAGAATTGCCCTTTAGGCTGTGGAGCTCATAAGAGAAATTAAAGGAATAGGAGGAACTCCAATCTTGGCTTTAAAAACAATAAAACTAGAAGCTGAGTGCTGGCAGCATATGCCTATAATCCTTGCTACTTAGGAGATTAAGATCTGAAGATCATGGTTCAAAGCCATGCTGAGCAGGAAAGCCCATGAAACTCTTATTTCCAAATAACTATCAGAAAGCCAGAGAAGAAGTGTGGCTCAAGTGGTAGAGCACCAACCTTGAGCAAAAAAGCTAAAGGATAGAGCCCAAGCCCTGAGTTCAAGTCCCAATGCCAGCGCGAAAAGAAAAAGGAAAGAAAGAAAACAAAACAACAAAACTCCTGTGTTATCAACAAGATGATTGGTCCACCTCTTCCCTCGGGCCTGTGCTGAGGACAGCACTGAGAGCTAGTGGAGGTAAAAACCCATCTAGCCCCAACATGAGGCTTGGGAGTCTCATGTGTGGATTGCTGAGCAACCTTCACCTGTCCAGGCTTCTAACCCTCTCCCTGTGTTGCTAAATACCAAACATCCTCTAAACAAAAGCCCCAACTGTGCATCTCTTTCTTCCTATGTCCTGGGTTTCACCTTTCTGTCCTGCACACAGTACGAAGCCTATATGAAATGTTTACACTAACCTAGCGCAAAGCCTTGCCCACCTACAGGCCTCAGTCCTCTGGTGGGGTCCAGTACCCAGAAACACATAGCCTGGGGCAGAATTGGAACCCATGTTGGCTGTCACCTGACCTGGGCTGCCTCCTCTTCGCAGTCCAACTCCCCTTGAGAGTCAATTTTGACTTGCAGGGCCGTACACTCCTCACAACGTTGGAAATGTAATCACAAGCTTCCATCTATCCATGCCCAGGTGCTATCTCTGATGCAATCCAGGTAGGTTGAGGATAAAGTCCTAGGTTCTAAAAGCTGGATTATGAGTCCTGAAAACCTACAACCCACAGCAGGGAGAAGGAAAGAAATAGACCGCAACACCAATGCCTGTACAAAAGAACTATACAATTTACATATATATTTATATACAGTATATAAATCTCTTTCTTCTCCATTCCAACAACACCCTCCCTCCCCTCCCCCCCCAAAACCCTAAAAGTTGTCAGTAGCAGATCCAAAAAACATACAATGAGAGAGAGAGAGAGAGAGAGAGAGAGAGAGAGAGAGAGAGAGAGAGTAAACAAATCTTTCTTCCCTTTCCTTTCCCCACTGTGGTATTACATATCGGTGTTTACAAAGGAAACCAGAAACAAAACACACAGAGACGAGTAATTAAAAGTGCAAACACAGTGGACATCACTTCTGTGACACGGGATGTGGCCGGGCCGTCGGCAGTGCTGAGGGCGAGGTGTCTGATGGTCCTCTTGTCTCCACGGACTCTCCACCAGCCCTTTGATTTTTCTGCTCCTTAAACAAGGCGTCCTACTGGGAGGGGAAAGGAGAGTGCAAAAAGAAACAGGTGTGAAAAAGCAGAAGTTAAGAGGTGGGAATACAAAAAGGCCTAGCTATAGAAATCCATTTCCCCTAAGAGCAGCCTTTTAGACTTGGGCCAGGTGAGGCACAGGTGACCTGACTTGCAGGTAAGAGTTTCACAGCCCATCCTTTGCCACTCTGAGGCAGCTGGGTGGCACCTGGAACCACATGACATGGCCTACTAAGCCCAGGGTGGAGGGCATCCTGCGTAAGTCACACTACCTCCAGATGCCAGCCTTGCAGTCTAGGGCTAGGAGGAAATGGCTGTGCTTGTTGACGGGTAGAAATGGCAGAATCCTCTTAGCACAGACTCTATCTTTCTCTTATGTTCTCAGTAAAGACATTGAACATGCAGCTTTAAGGGACTTGGCTAAAGGCTGTTCATTCTACCTGAGCTATCAAAGCTTCAGCAGGGGGTCTGGACAGGAAAGGAGGGAGCCCAGAAAGAAGGCCACTTACTGAATGGGTTGGTGCCTGCTCGTTTTTCCTGGGGGAAGCTGCCAAGGCTACCACCTGCAACAAACAGGAACATGTGACAAGGGTAAGGCCCTGAGCCGAAACTAGCCGGGCTTCTGTATCTGTGCCACGTCCCCACCCCAATTCTAACCGGAGTGTAACGATGGGCTTGGGAAACAGTCAGAGGCGGTATGGGTCAGCCTTCAGTGCTGTGGGTGTCTGTGGCCAGTTTCTTCTGCCTGGTGAACCCACTGTCGACCAAAATCTCTTTCTCATATGGCCAGGCACCTGTTGGGGAGTCCTTTGGGGGTTTTGTTGGTTTGTTTGGTTTTGCTTTTACTTTTTGAAACCGGAGTCTTCCTATGAATCCCAAGATGCTCTCAAACTCGTGATCCTCCTGATTCAGCTTCCCAAGAGCTGGGATTACAGCAGCGACTTACCACACCTGGCTTGGAGTGTTTCTTTGGAGTTCCCTCAGCTATTAACAAAGCGATGCTGATGGACATTTCTAGAACTTTCTTGGTCTTGGTTCTCCAAGTCACAGATGTCAGAGGTAGAAGGAATCACAGCCCTTTTATCTACTAAATCTGGAGGCAGAGGCTCAAAGTGGCTGTCTCATGGTCCAACCCCACTCTGCTTGCACCTAGCTCCTGGTCATGCAGTGCCAGGCAGTTCTGGAAACTGGTCATGGCTGCTCTTGTAGGGGCCTGGCTATCCAAAGGAGAAGCAGGGAGCTTGGGAAACACATTGAAAGCCAGGCCAGCTCTCTACAGCTCTTACCACGTCTCTGAGGGTGGAAAAGGGAATCTCAGCACATAGCCTCTGCTCTGCCTTCCTGACAGGATTGTCCCCAAGGAGCAGCTCAATTCTTGGAGGACAAAAGGCTCTGGGGGAATTTCCAGTGCTGTGGAAGCAAAGCCTATCCATGGGTCACGTGACTCCCTAAGTCAGCATCCCCCAACATTTCTTAAAACCCAAGAGAAACAGAACATGGGGTGGACAGGAAACAGTAATTAATGTAACTGACTTTTCAGATGAGGACACAAACTCATTAAGATGGATAGACCCCCAAGGCAGGAGGGTGGGAAGGGGCAGAGCTAGGCGGCCTGGCTTTAAATCCTATTTCTTCACCCAACAGCTATTCTTCTAAGTGGTGGGCAGAAAGATCTACACACACACACACACACACACACACACACACACACACACACACACACACACACACACACACACACACACACACACACACACACACACACACACACACACACACACCCCACGGGGCATACAGCAGTCCTCACCACCAAGCTGAGACTCAAGAAACAAAATGGATAGTCAGGAGGGTGTCTCTGCAATCTCAGGGCAAGTTTAACTGCTAGGGATAAAAATATTCCCATCTTATGATGATAAAACAGATGCTCAGACATGCCAATTAACTACTCAGGATGGATAAGCAGATTCAGACCTGGCTATCTGACTCTGCACCTGTACTCTGGACCACCACGGAGGCCAGAGCGGGAAGCCAGGGGGAGGAGGTATCCTCAGGCAATTTTCAGGGAGAGCTAGCATTTCTGATGCGTGGAGGCGCTGGTCTCCACCCATCTCGCTTGCTTCTCAGGATGGTGGCAACAGTCCTGAAAATGCTTTATAAATTGGAAAATTCCAGTTAAGAAAGAGGCCCCTGATTTCAGAATGTTTAGCTTTTCCATTCTGGAAAACCAAGTCGGCTCTCCAATGGAAAGACTGATATGGTAAACAAACAACAACAACAAAAACCCAGCTGTGTTCACGTGGCATCTATGACATTTTGGTCCTTCAGACTCAAAACTACAATCTGTGGATCCTCTCCACAAACACCTTGTGCCCTCACTCAGGGTGCAAGCCCAGATCATGCCACCAGAGGGCACCACATGACACCAGATGACCCAGGCAGGTGCTCCATTCCCTGAAGCAGCTACTCACCTACCACTCAAGTGGCTTTTTTTGTTGCCCCAAGAACAGCTAGAGCAAAAAGACAAAAGGAGAGTGTCTGCACTATGACTGATTTCTTCTGTGAGAGAGGCCCTGTGCTACATTCTTTACATGCTTTGTAGTGTTAAATCTTCATATCCAATCTGTGAGATGGGCACTATTATCTCCATTTTGCAGACAAGGAAACTGATGCCCAGAGAGTTTAAATGACTCAATGAGACAGCTGGCAGGTAGCAGAGGCAGGCCTATCAGACTTCAAGGGAGTCCCAACTTGCCTAGTCCATTGTCCTTACCCCTCCCCTAGGCTTCTGGATAGGCACTTCTTGGCTGAAAATCATAGCTTTCTCTCCACGGGGCTGGCATCACCCTGCCCCCAGAAGCCTCTGCTCCAGTTCACACTGCCCCAAGGCCGCATCTGCCCCTCACTGCCCTGGACTTACCATAGGCCACTCCTTCGGCTTCCACAGACAACAAAAGTCACCTGCTTGTAAAGGGCATTGTGTTCAAACTCGCTATGGTCCTCTTTGTGGAAGGCTCAGCCGTCAGGCCCTAGGGTCCTTCAGGTGCGCCAGGGACTGTCAATGGTGCTACTTCATGTGTGCAAATCACAACGCCTCTCTAGACTTGCCCCGGCTCCTCAATTGCAACATGGAGAGAGAACTGAGGGAGTCTTTTGGCTGCAAGCTCCCGTGGGCTAAAGTACTATATGCTGTGCTATGTGTAGATGTGGAGCTGCAGAGAGAGGAATTCTGCTCTGCGTCCTTGTGGGCTTTACATCTTCACAGCCTCCTCTCCACCCAACCCTGTAGGTGAGTACTGTTGTGAGCTATCACTGCCCAGAGCAACCCCACACCAAGCCATTCATTTGCTCACCTGTGTATCTGACAGGGATTTAATGAGCAGCTATGAGATGCCATGTACTGTGCTAGAGGTTAGGAACCGAGATGAGAGTCCATGGTTCCAAGGGGGAATCAGGAAAGAAAATTGTAACACAGTGTGCTAAGTGCCCTTGAGCAAAGCAATGACCTCAGGCAGCATAGCAACATTTAAGGTTTACCGAGAGCTTTCAGTATGTTGTCTTTCTCTTATCTCCATGTCCTATCGCACACACTACTCCATCACACACATTCATGCATATACATGTGCAATGTGTACACAAGTGTATAGCTATGTGTGCATGCACCCTGGAAAGACAAAGGAAAAGACATGTGCACCTGTGTACGCACACATAGGGAGATGCACACAGATAGGCACACATGTACAGAGACATGCCAGGCCAGACAGGCATGGGCATTACAGACACATGCACAGACATGTCTCAGGCCTGCACAGACACAGGCACTTCCAAAGGAAGCATGGTCAGGAGTCAGTCACTGGTGGTTCTTCTCTGGTCCCCCTAATGCCACCTTTGGGGAGAAAGGTCAGGAGGTTAATTTCAGTCAAGAAACTGAGCAGATGTGCTCCAAAGCACCCTAAGGCCTATGGGCTATGCTGTGAAGTGACTTGAAACTAAAGCCTAACCCCCAGCTGCATCTGGGTTGAGAGGTGTCCGGATGACCCGGATGACCCGTGATTCTTGCATTCCCACCCCACTCTGCTTCACCGCTTTCTGCAGCTGCTTCCTTCAGGCCCTGTGCCTCTGCTGGGCCTGGCAGACATCTGGTACCCAGCAAGGCTTCAGAGGAAGTCCAGAAAGGCTCCCTGGACACTGACAACCAGAAAAAAGGAGAAGCCCTTGTGTCTGCTTATGGCAAACCCTCCCTGACCAATATAAGCCTCGCCAAAGCTTCCATTTCCAGTAAATCAGCATCACCCCAACCCGTATCTTCATCGCACACCTCTCTTCTCCAGCCCACTCACCATCTTTCCCCACCCTAACATCGGTCAGCTTTTCCATGACTCCCATCTCAGTGAACGACCCTAGCCTACATACACTCACAAACCTGTGTTCCCTTGTCCACTCAGCTACCAGGCCACCATCTCTCCCTCTTCCCCTTGGGACTTCATAACTTGGCCCTCCACTGCTTCTCGCCTGGACTGTGCTATGCCTGTTAGATGATGGTGGCCTTGATCTTCTCTACTCCATTTCCTCCAGTGCAGCCAGAAGAACTTTTGAAGGCAAAACTGATCATATCATTTCTCTGGCTGGACCTCTCCAACTACCTTTCATTAGGCCTTCCAGCTGGATTCAAAGGCTCTCCCACTTTACCTTGCCTGTCACCCTTCCCTACCTGTTGATATGGTCTAGTGCCTGAGCACTAGCCAGCGAACTATAGGAAGTGCTAGGTATGTCCCTTTTAGAACTGTCCCATAATGTTCCTCATATGCATTGTTTACTCAATCTGGTTGACTGAGAATTGAGATGACCTCCACAGTGACCTTGGAAGGTTAGTCATCCCAGAGTGACTCCATGGAGCAATCCCTACTTCACTTCCTGTTCTTCCTACACACACACACACACACACACACACACACACACACACACACACACACATCGACCACCAACACTACCTGGCACATTCTTCACTCTTCCGTGGGAAGACAAAACATCTTCTGCTACACTGAGGCATGACAGGTGTGGCTCTACTTCTTCTACAGCCTGGCCAACCCTACGAATGCAACCTCATACAAGAGCACAATGTATGTGAACAGCACGCTCCCAGCTGTTGAATAAATGAAAGCGTGGAACCTCATTTCTCGGGAAGGCCCTTCGGCCCTGTGCCAGGGCAGGGCAAGTGTGAAAAGGCCAGAAGCATTGGGGGGCCCAGCACTCACCTTCTTTGCTAACCCCTAAGCAGCCCTTCAGCTCCGGCAGGGAGATGACCTTGTCCTTGTTCAGGTCACAGTAGTCGGTGAAGCGCCGGGCGCATTTCTTGGGCTTGGCTTTCTTCTTCACGTAGCGCTTAAAGGGCTTCATCTCACGCTTGTTAATGTCATTGCTGCTGTTGCTGTCCAGCTGACCAAAATACCAGTGCACCACTCGCTCCTCCAGCGTGTGGCTGGGATCTGGCTCTGAGAACCTAGCCATGAACAGAAATCCCCATCCCAGAAAACACCACTTAGAGTCTTTTTGGGACCATCAGCACCATGAAACTCTCACCCCAATGGCCAAATGCCAAGGTATTTGCTATGGTTTGAATGTGGTTTGTCCTGCCAAAATTCACGCTAAATTCGGTTTTTAGTGTAGCTCCGTTGGGAGGTAGAAGCAGAACCTTGAAGCACGATTAATGTCTTTCTCAAGAGGCTGGATTTGTTCTTTCTCTCCTGTCTTTGCCCGTGACTGCTTCCCTTTTGCTGTCTACATCATGTTCAGGTTGCATGAGGCCCTCATTTGAAGCCAAGCAGATGCTGATAGTCTGCTCTTGGCCTTCCAGAACCATGAGTCAAAATAAACCTCTCTTATCAAGAAATTGCCCAGTCTCAGGTATTGTGGTATAGGCTGCCAGCACTCAAGTAAAAATGGCTCCTCTAAGACAAAACCTCCCAGAGCAGCTCAGAAATTGGCAGCATCAAGCCATCCTTTTCAATATAAAAGCTTGTCCAATCCCAAGACTGGATAATTCTTAGAGTCTTCAAGTGAGTGATCTCTATTACATGGACCTGCCGCACTCTCTGTTGCAGCCAGGAATAGTCTGGTACAAGATGAGTACTCAAGATACATTGGCTGGATTTAACCCACGTGAGTAGACCTATGTGCCTTCTCCTGACTTGCTTACTGTCAGACAAGACACTCTTCTCATTTATGTGCCCACCCTCACATACTCTGAGTATGTAACACATACTCAGTGCCAGGCCAGACCCTGAGAAAGTGCCCAAAGAGGGAAGGTTAACCCTAACGTCATGCTGTTCACTGTCTCAAAGAGATGGAAATAGCAGTGACAATTAACTGGAAAGGCTAATGCTCTCACGGCATTGTTGCGGGGTACGTTATAGGAAGAACTGAGAGAAGAGGACAGTTGGTCCAGATTCTAAAATAAGTAGATCCCAGACTTTCTGGGGCAAGACTCTCCAACCTGAGGTTTTGGGTCAAGAGGTCCAAGGTGAGCTCAGGAGACTAGCTATTAACTAGCACCTACCTCCAGGTGAGTCTGCTGAAAAACACTGGACTAGAATGACCAGGGAAATGTTCTGGTGTCCAAACATACAGTAATAACCACATGTAGCACAGCCCACACTAGCTCTTATGACTGTGAAGTGATACAGCCAATGTTTATGCATATAATGCTATGCATTGCCTACCCATCTATTTTATTTATTTACACACCATCTCTTCCTATAAAAAGGAGCCAGTTGGGTACTGGTGGTTCATGCCTATAATCTTAGTTATTCAGAAGACTTAAATCTGAGGATCAGGATTGAAAGCCAGCCTGAGCAGGAAAGCCCATTAGACTTGTCTCCAATTAACTACCAAAATGCCACAAGTAGAGCTGTGGCTCAAGTGGTAGAGTATTAGCCATGAGCATAGAAGCTCAGGGACAGTGCTCAGGGCCTGAGTTCAAGCCCCAGGACCAGTACAAAAAAAAAGAAAGAAAGAAAAAGAAAAGGATTCAAGATGATAACAATACTTTTGTTCTTTAAAGCCAATGATGGATCTATTCCAGAGGGGCTAGCTGGACCACCTAACCAGAAAAACAGACACATACTTGTTCTGGGCTACTGTTCCCAGGGCTTGACAATGAGTGAATGTGAACCAGGCCCCATGTTCAAAGGCCTGGTACCTTGCCCTTGGGAGGGGAATACATTAAGGATGAGAGTCTCACACATTGTGTACTTGGACAGAGCACGCATGAGCACCACAAGAACGGCGTCTGCCAGCACATGCTGAAATCGTACTTGGCAAGAAAATGTCCAAGGTGATTACTCATGCTACCTTCTTTTCTGGGTTGTGCTGAGGAGAAGGTGACTATTTCTGATCCCTCTCTCATGACTGAGCCAGCAAACTCCCTCCCCTGTGACACACCTCCCAAGCAACTTCAAAGTTCAAGGGCAAGGGCCGGGAAGATGGCTGAGTGGTAGAGTGCTTGCCTAGCATGCATGGAGCCCTGGGTTCCTTTCCTCCGTACCACATAAGCAGAAAAAGCCAGAAGTGGCACAGTGGCTCACGTGGTAGAGGGCTAGCCTTGAGCAAAAGCAGCTTAGGGACAGTGCCCAGGCCCTGAGTTCAAGCCCCAGGACTGGGGGGAAAAATAAGTTCAAGGGGACACAAAAAAGTTTTGTTAACAACAACAAAAAATTAAGCCAGTCATCCCAGCTAGGTACCCATTCTGTTCCAAAGGAGCTGGACTTCAATTCTGGTATGCTCCTCTGGGCATCCTAGAAAGATTCTAGAAGGGTGTAACTGGCAGTACCCAGCGGAGGTTATCTTGACTGGCTTAACTCAGTTTGTCCCTGGGAGAAGATGTGAGGGAGTCATGCAGAACTGCTGGCCACCGACTCTTTGGGGGATCTGGTTAGTTTGCCAGGGAAACCAGGCGCAGGTGGTTTTGGGCTGCAGAGCTCAGATTGCGCTGCAAGTGTTTTGGTGTCGTTACTCTTCCTCCATTTATCTGTAACATTCACTCTCAAGACTGTCCCTGCAGTGCGTGTCAGGTGAACGGGCAGAAATTCTCTGGCCTGGACACTGGGGAGGACTTGAGCTGTGGAGGAGGCAGGAGGAGAGACTCGGAAGGCTGTGTGAGGTGGTCAGAGATGCCCCCACCCCCAGCCCCCTCCTGCCAGGGGGCCAGGAGCACTCCAAGGGGAAGACAACTTCCTTTAACCTTTAGGTTCAGTATAGCGTCATGTCTACCTTGAGGCTGGAATAATAAAGCCTCAGTCGCTCAGACGGGAAGGGATGAAGTCATCCCACCCAGAGGCCCTGCCAGGGAAGGTTCGCTCCCTCCAACACGTGTTCCTGGGGCTCCTGCCTGTCCAGTTTTCAGCAATTCTATTGATAGAGCTACCCCCTCCACCCTCCTTCAGGCTAGTTTGCAGCAAGAACTAGTTTTGCTTCCAAGGTTTTCCTTCTGTGCCAGACAGTGGTCATCACCTGGCCCCGACTCCTTCTCCCTTCCTGGCCTCTGACTCTCCTTTGCTGCCCTGTCTTTCTTCTCAGGAGAATTAGAGATTTTCACTCCTCTCTCATACCCTGTACAGAGCAGCCTAGACTATCCACTGCTGGCCTGCATACCCAGGTCCCTGTCAGATCCCTTAGCTGGTTGCTGGGCTAAATACAAGACACACTTCCTTGGGAGAGGCCCTCCAAGCCATGACCCACACCCTCCTCTATGGGGCCCATAGCCCCTTCCCTTGGCCCCTTCTGTCCCACATAGTGTGAATTCCTTAGACTTCCAGAAGCTTCCATTAAGAAAACTCTAGGGCTGAGAAGAGCTAGTGCCATACTTGGGAACTCAACACCTTGGCTTAGCTAAACTCCAAGTGCTTTGGTATGGAGAACTCCTTGGTTTTGTGTCTATGGGGGAAACATCTGACAACCTAAACAAAGCCCAAGGTCTAGGCCTCTAAGTAAACCATTTGTATACACTGAAGTCTATACATTTTAAGGGATTAATGATTCCCTAACACCCATTCAAAGTCTATGGACTTAGGTAAAAGAGCCCTTGATCCACAGGGGTAGAAACTCCAGCCATGGTTCCAGAGGATCAGTTAAGTATGATACTCCTGAAAGAAGAGAGAGACCAAAAGACAGTCTCTGTGTGTGATTTGGGATGGTTTCCATACTTCTGAAGAAAAGAAACATAATAGAGAAAAGAAAACCACTGAAGGCATCTGATTTAGAACTCGAAATCAAATCTCCAGTTCCACAGTAGCCCTAGTTGCAGGCAATGTTGACAGCAAGGGCCTCCTATGGCTTGTACAAACTCTTGCTAAGTTATCAGGAGTCCTGGAATCACCAAACCAGCAGTGCGCATGTGTGAAAGGAAACTCCATGTTCTCCCCTTCCCCTTCATTAATGGCATAGATTGAGAGATTTCCCCCCAACAGGGGAATACTAGATAGGGAAGGATATAACAATCTTACCCCGACTTTCCAACAGTCTCCCAGGTTATCTTTGCCAGAATCCATCTTATCACTGACCACTCCCCACTCTTTATTCCTTGGCCTCAAATCCATACCCCACTGATTTCTCCAGCTCTCACAACCTTCTGGAAGTTTCCTTTTTAAAACATCTGAAGCTTGCACTCTGGCACTGGGCAGATGCTGGTATAGATTCCCACATCATTCTCCCTCCTGCCCAAACACGCACATACACAACCACTGGGGTCAGGACTGCTGGGGTTCAAAGCTGTTCCTCAGGCTGGAGCTGGGACCCTCCTCAATGAGGGGGTGCAGTGGCTCCTAAAAATCAACTACACTATGACCACCCCTCCCCCATAGGTGACATTATGCTTCTGCTCGAAGAGCTCATCAGGTAGACAGAATGCCCACATTTCCTTGGATATGGTGTGTAGAAAAAACATACCCAAACAATACCTCCTTCCAGACTTGGGATGACCATGGTTCAGTGCCATATTGCTGCCTGCCTCTGAGTTATTTTAGTAACTCCCACCTCCAGGGATGGGAAAAACCACAGGAGCCAGGTCCCTCCCTGCACAGCCCCAGAGCTGTGGCCCAGAGGTACAGAGGCCTCTCCTGAGCAGCACTTTCAGTTTTGTTTCTGCAGCCTCATCCCTGCCAGGCCTTGGCTGCACCACACAGCCCAACAGCCAGCCCCGTTTACCACAACCTGCTTCGGCCAGGATCGTGGGCCCAGTTCTGCTGCCTTAAGCAATTTTAGAGAAGGTAAGGCGGGATGGCAGGAAGGCACGAGCCAAGCCAAGCAGACTGACTGAGCCCCATCTGGAGCTGGGTCCCAGCCCCGCTAGCTGTGCGAGTGGGGCTGGGAAATGCCAAGTCAGCCACATTCCAGCCTCTTTTGTGTGAAGACATCAAGGGGCATCCATGTTGAGCAGGGAGAGTAAAGACACTGTACAGGAGGCTTAGGGCTACATGAAGGACTAGGGGGTTCACAGGGCTCATC